CTCCGTGTCCCTGGGTGCCTTTCATCCCTCTCCTCCCCCGCCTCCTCCGCCCCCGCCTGCCCCTGGTTTCGTCTGTGGTCTCAGTCTAGGGGAGGGGGAAGGCATACGTACTGCTGTATACCCCACTGGGCGGCAGCTCCTTCTGCATCAAGTCAACCCTCAGCTTCCTAAACATGGTTTCAGAGATCTTGCTCGTGTGGTTACTGTGTCTAACGCGTGTGTACTGTGTGGGAATATGTATGCTACAAAAAGATCCGCTAGCGAACATCTTCTGCGGAGTCTGGTTAATCAGAAATGCCCGAGGTCCCGAGGTTCTGCTACGGTATTCGATCACGTTGCTCCCCCCTACGGACGTCTGATGTGCAGGGCGCCTTTCTGTAGCTATCCGGAGGCTCAGTGGCATCTGCGTGAATACGTACCTTTAGAAGAACAGATTCTAGAACTCTAAGCATGCCCCAGCCACAATGGTCTTCTGTCTTCGGCCATGTGGGTGCGAAGTCTTCTGCCGCTGCTGCTGACCCAGGTGTTCAGGCTCGCAAGCGCATTGCTGTTGAAAATGGCAGCACGGAGAAGAAAGCAGGTCTCGCCCTCAAGCTAGGTGTCATCAACTAGCAGAACAGCCTCCTGCAGCCGGCGTGCACCACGCAGTTCACGATCGAGGTTGCCGATCCCATCTACCAAGCAATGAAGCCAGCATCCGAGACGGAATACATCCCCCGTGTCAAGGGCCAGAAGGGACACGGTCTGGGCGCGCCTGACAGCTTCATGTTCACAGGAGTTGTAGTCACAGTGATGCAGCGCGCGTCGCCATATCAGCAGGCAGTGCTGCGCAAATTTCTCGATACGTTTGTTGCAGGCAGTCAGCAGTCCCAGCTCTTGATCAGGCACGGAAAAATGTTCGACTCTAAAGTGCGCAGGCTCATGGTTGCCATCAACGATCCTGTGCTGGAGGCCACGGTTGTCCAGAATTTAATCTCTTCGAAAGAAGAGGACACTGTCTTCACTGGCCCGCGGCCTGCGGGCTACCTTGAGCTCGAGGGGCAAGGGCTGATTGCTTCCTGAGTGCGCAGCAGCCTCAGGAGTTCGGCCGTGCGCCGACGTCTGACGACGGGATACCGATACCGATACCTCCTCCCCCTCCCTCCCCCCTCCTCCTCCTCCTCCTCCTCCTCCCCCTCCTCCTTTTACTCCTCCTCCTCCTCCTCCTCCTTTTACTCCTCCCCTCCTCCTCCTCCTCCTCCTCCTCCTCCTCTCCTCTTCCTCCTCCTCTTCCTGCTCCTCCTCCTCCTCCTCCCTCCCTCCTCCTCCTCCTCCTCCTCCTCCTCCTCCTCCTCCTCCTCCTCCTCCTCCTCCTCCTCCTCCTCCTCCTCCTCCCCCTCCCAACGGAGGCCCAGAGCCGTGAGCGCATGACGGCTGCCTGCCCTCAGGCCCAGGCGGGTGAACCCGATGCACGCGCCGTCGGAGGCGCTCGAGTTGCTGAAGCAGGGCACCGCAAGGTGGCAGCAGAGGCGCATGCTCGACCACGACCCGCAGCAGTACGAGATCTCCCCGCCCTGGAGGAGGGCGCGGCGGCTGGGGCGCCAGGACTTTAGGTGCCCCCAGCGCAGCGGCTTCTCGCAAGCCCTCCAGGCGAACTCGCTGTGGCCGCCGAGCAGATTATTCCGCGAAGGGCGGTGCGAGCGGCCCAGCTGCCTGCTCTGCGGGCCTCCCGAAGGCTCGGCTGGCCACATGTACTTCGCGTGCGAGGTGGTGAAGCAACAGCAGAAACAGGATGAGCAGGAACCGCTCCCCAACGACCTCCTGCAAGATTCGCGATCGGTTTCGCGGCATATCGGCGCAGACGAACGAGGGGCCGCGCTGCGAGCAGCTGGAGCAAGGTATGGAAGTGCAAACCCGACTTGTCTGGCTGTTACTCTGGGGGGGGCTGTGCTCAGGGGAGGCTGCAGCACCGCTGAACGATGTTGATTAACCGAACCTGCAGGATAGGCCCTTCTCTCTGCTAGGTTCCAGCGGGGCCTCTTCAGGCCATCATGCTGACGCGCGCGCCTCCGCCTCCTCCTCCTCCTCCTCCTCCTCCTCCTCCTCATCCTCCTCATCATCATCAGCAGCAGCATCATCATCATAATCAGCATCATCAGCATCATCAGCATCATCAGCATCATCATCATCATCATCATCATCATCATCATCATCATCATCATCATCATCATCATCATCATCATCATCATCATCATCATCATCATCATCATCATCATCATCATCATCATCATCATCATCATCATCATCATCATCATCATCATCATCATCGGCATCATCATCGGCAGAATCATCAGCATCAGCACCATCATCATCATCATCATCATCATCATCATCATCATCATCATCATCATCATCAACAACATCAACATCATCATCATCAGCAACATCATCATCATCATGCTCCTCCTGCTCCTCTTCTTCCTCCTCCTCCTCCTCCTCCTCCTCCTCCTCCTCCTCCTCCTCCTCCTCCTCCTCCTCCTACTCCTCCTACTCCTCCTCCCTCCTCCTCCTCCTCCTCCTCCTCCTACTCCTCCTACTCCTCCCCCTCCCTCCCTCCCTCCCTCCCGCCCTCCCGCCCTCCCTCCCTCCCTCCCTCCCTCCCCCCCCCGCCAACCCCTCCCTCCCGCCAACCCCTCCCTCCTCCCTCATCCAGGGCGGGGATCTGGGCCTCCTTGAGCGTCTGCGCCGGCCGCCCGGCGAGCAGCTGCGGTGCGGGGCGGCGGCGGCGGCGGCGGCAGCGGCGGACGACGCCGCCGCAGCCGCCGCCAACGACGACGACGACGACGACGAAGACGACGAAGACGACGAGGACGAGGACGAGGACGAGGACGAGGACGACGACGACGACGACGACGACGACGACAATGACAATGACAATGACAATGACAATGACGACGAAGACGGCCACGACGACCACGACGACCACGACGACCATGACGACCATGACGACCACGACAACGACGACCACGACGACCAAGACGACCACGACGACGACCATGGCGAGGGCGAGGGGCAGGGCCAGGGCAAAGAGAAGGACGACAACGACAACTCTGTCTCCGCTCCTCCTCTTCCTCCTCCTCCTCCTCCTCCTCCTCCTCCTCCTCCTCCTCCTCCTCCTCCTCCTCCTCTTCCTTGCCCTCGCCCTCCCTGGCCGTCGTCGTGGTCGTCCTTTTGCAGGGCACTCGCCCCATGGTGTCGGAGTAACTGTACGCCCTCGGTGGGTGGGCCTAACCTCATCAAGCCATTAAGGAACCCCCCGGGGTGATCATTAGCACCGCACCGTAATTAGATAATTCTGAGGGGCGGTTTTCGCCGAACGATTTTATAAGCGCCGCGCAAATGGAACGAAAATATATAATTCCCGCGCCCCGGCTCGGGTGGTATCCAAATTCGACTTGGAATAAGAATAAGAAGAAGAGAGAAAGACGAGTAATAATAATAGCGATAATAGGAATAAGAACCATCATAACATTGATAGAAGTAAGAGTAAGAATAAGAATAACAAGAAGAATAAGAGTAAGAATTAGGGTAAGAATAATGATATGAAGAATAAGAATCAGAATCATAATAATAAGCATAATAAGGATAGCCTTTTCTCATTATCGTCACCATCTTTGTCCTATACGACTTGTATTGCCACCCCTGTTGAAAAGTTGTTGTTTCCCGGCCGTCGTGCGGGGTAGTGCATCCGAGGATATCGCCCCCGCCACGCACGGCGCGACATCTTAACACCGCACCCGCACAAAATAAGACAAGAAGTACAATAAGACCAAGAATAAGAATAAGAAAACACATAAGAATAAGACTAAGAATAAGAATAATATTAGTACGAACGAGAGTAAGGATAAGAATAATACTGAAAAACCGACAGCGGACGGGCTCTCTTGCTTCTTTCCTCCCTCCCTCCATTTTCTCAGTTTCTTCATCATCCTTGTCCTATACGATTATTATTACCACCCCTATTGAAAAAAATGTGTTTCCTGGCCGTCTCGTGGGGTAGTGCATCCGAGGAGATCGCCCCCGCCACGAACGGCGCGTTATCTTAGCAACCGCACCGCCAAAATGATTCGCCCCCTATCGTAGGCACGGACGGTTCCTTTTCAAAGCTGGGCTCTCCCTTGCTGGGGCGCCCCTGCTCGGAAGGCCGAACGCTGGGAAGACACGCGGCCACTCCAGTTCTCGCCCAGACCGACCACCTGACGCAGACTCGTCTGCGTCCAGAGCAGTTTCTGAGGATGTCTCAGGCGAGGCGCTTGTTTCAGAACCACAAGGAGACCATATTGCGAGAATGCCTCAGGCGGTTTGCTTGTTTCGGCGAGCAGACTCGTCTGCGTCCACATAAAGGTGCGAGGTGCCAGGATAACGCTTCTGGGGTGCCGGGCGCGTTATACTTTCGCCGGAGAAGAGGGGGGAGGGTTCTGAATTGCCGGATGAGGTTACTCCCTTCCTCCACCACCCCACATCCTCCACCCTCTCCTTGCTCCCCTCCCCTGCCCCACCCCTCTCCCTGTCCGCCCGCTCCTCCCCCATTCCCTTCCCCTCCACCCCCCGCCCGTCTGGAGCACTGGCCTGTCTGGAGCACCTCGGGCATACAATACAGTCCTGCACGGGCCCCAACCAGAGGCAGCGCAGGCTAGAAGTAGATGTCGGAACTCCGCGCGGAGCTCCGATAAACTACACGTACGCGGTCGTCGGCTCGGAGGAATAGAGTCGCCCTTCCCCTCTACCGTTTCTCCCCTAAAAAACATACACACACACACAAAGAAAGAAAAACACACACACACACAAAAAAAAAAGTGTGTCAAAACACACAAAACACACAAAACACACACACACACACACACACAAAACAAAAAACACAGTGTGTGTTTTGTGTGTGTGTGTTTCCCACAGTGTTTTCCCCCTCTGCCGTTTCGCCCCCGGCCCATCATCCCGCGGCAGGAGGACAGCGCACGTTTCCCTCAGCTGCGCTTCTCGTGCCGACCGGCCGCGCCGCCGCCGCGCCCGGGGGCAAGGAACGACAGGCAGACGCCGGACAGCGTGAAGAGCACGGCCTGCCCGAGGAACACGGATCCCCCGCCGAAGCGGTCCATCAGCGACCCTGCTGGGCTAGCTCCCACCAAAAAAGCCTCCTAGATGGGGTCCGACTGCATGGGGTCGGAGGAACGCGACGCATCGCCGATGCATCAGCGACGTATCACGAATGTATCGGCGACGTCGGCGATACATCGGCACCGTCGGCGTGGAGGAAGTCGGGCTCTACCTCGAGCCGCATAGCCGACGCAACGGCGACGCGGCGCAATCCTCTGACCCACTCTACTCCGACCCCTACTGGGAGGCCTGGAAAACAACAGAAGCCTTTGGCCACAACTGGACTCTAGGGGCCCTCTCCAGGCCCTGGGGCGCTTAAGGGGCTGCTCAGAGTGAGAGGCCAGCCCAAGGGAAGGAATGGGCCGAGACCTCTCGGGGTCCACGCCTCCGGAAAATCACGGGGTCGGGGGCCTGGACGGGTGCAGGGAAAGGAGTGTGACCTCCCAAGGAGCCCCCCCTCCCAGGACTGGCGGCGGGCACAGTGGGGCAGAGGGAGGGGGGAAGGCTTCTTAGAAGGAGGCTATTTCTTGGAGGGCACCGGCCCTACATCTATAGACAAGGCACGCGACTTCTCAGAAGCAGGGGTGTTCCTAAGAAGCCTTCCCCCTCCCGCTGACGCCCCTCTGCGCGTGGCCGACGCAGAAGGCGCCTGGGGGCGTGGCCACGGGGCCCATCCCCCCCTGAGGAGCCATGCCTCAACCGAGGGGCCGGTCCCCCCCCCCCTCGCCGCTTCTGCGCGCCGCCGGCCCTCGACGCCAAGCGCAAGAGGGGAGCGGGAAGGAGGAGACCCCCAGGGCCACCCAAGCTCCAAGTTCGCGCACCGCGCCCGGCGGCGCGCGAAGTCGCCCTCTCGCGCCCTCGCGCGGGGAGACCCTCCCGGAGAAGGGCAGCGCTCCCCGGCCCGGGCCTCGAGGCCCCCGTGGGTGACCTGGGCCTCTCCCGGGGGGGGGGGGGGGCTCCGATGAGGCGGCGCGCTTCTCGGAGGGAGGAGCGGCTGCCGCTCTTGCTCGGGGCCGTGCTGCCCAGACCTTGTGAGAAGGCGGCCCCCCTGGCCGCCAGCTCGGGCCTCGCCTGCTGGGGGCGATCAAAAGGTGGGGGGGGGGGGGGGGGGGGGGGGGAACGCGAAGGGGGGGGGGGAGGGGGACGTGCACCTCTCGTGCCCCTTTTGGGCCCCCAGGGGCCCCTTTCAGGGCGGCCCCTTCGAGGCACAAAAAGGTGCACAGCTCTTTCGCCATGCCCCCATCAGTCGCCCCTCCTCCTCCTCCCTCCTCCTCCTCCTCCTCCTCCTCCTCCTCCTCCTCCTCCTCCTCCTCCTCCTCCTCCTCCTCCTCCGCTTCCTCTTCTTCTTCCTCCTCTCCTCCTCCCTCCTGCCTCCTCCTCCCTCCTTCCTCCTCCTCCTCCTTCTTCCTCCTCCTCCTCCTCCTCCTCCTCCTCCTCCTCCTCCTCCTCCTCCCTCCTTCCTTCTCCTCCCTGCGTCGGGTCTGCCCTCGCCGCCGCCCGGGGGGCAGACCCCCTTCGAGGCCAGGGCTGCCCCGACCTTCCGAGGAGGGGGGCGCGCCGCCGACGGCGGGCCTCCTGGCCCTCGGCTCTGCGCCCTCTCGCTTAGCAAAGGGAAATTAGGACACACAAATAAATACACACAAATAAAATTAGTCCCCATATTTTCCTATATTTTCTGGGTTTTTGTCTTCTCCCCCAATTCCCATATTTTCCCATATTTTCCTGGGAATCGAGGATTAATTGTGTCTGTGTGTTTTTTTCCCTCCTGACTTAGGTCGGGCATGTCCTCCTTCAGGCGGATCTTGGGAGAAAAAGGAAACTTGTCCAAAAATATCAAGACCAGCCAAAAATAGTCGAAACATCGTCCCCAGGCTACTCTTTGACCATTTGGGGGAAAAAACCTCCTGCAGAGGGGCATGCCCGACTTGACCTGTTGCGCCCGTGGCCACCGAGCCTGCGAGCACCGGCGCGGCCACCCGCAGCGCGGCGGAGCACATGTCCATCAGGCCCATGGCCTGGCCCTGCCTGTCCCGGGGCACGCGCTTGCTGAGGAAGGCCGCGGGGATGCTGCGGAGGAAGCCGTTGCCCAGCGCCGCCGCGGGCGCGGAGAGCGCGATGGCCTGTGGGGACTGCCACGCCCAGATGGAGGCCGAGGTGGCCGCGAAGCTGGCGATGCCGAGCTGCATCATGGCGACGTCGCTGCAGCCGCGGCCGGCCAGGAAGGTGCAGAGCCCGCCCGCGACCGCCGCCTGCATCGCGGACACCGCGGAGCTCAGGCCCGCGAGCCAGGCCTTGCTCAGCTGCAGGTGGTGCACCGCGAACGTGTTCACCGCGACGCTCGTGTGACAGATGAGGCCCAGCTCGGGAAGCCCGAGCACCGCAAGCGCGGCCACCACCTCCCGGTCGCGCCAGAGCGGGGAGCCCTCCGCGGCCGCAGCCCCGCCGCCCCCGCCGTAAGCTCGGGCGGGCTTGGGCATCGTCTCCGGGAGAGCACCGAAAACTACCGCACCGAGCAGCGCGAACATCGCCACGGCGATCACCACGGGGGCGTCCTCCCCAAGGCGCTCCGCCGCCTGGGACCCGAGGAAGGGGCCGACCGTGCAGCCGACGCCGAGCGCGCTCCCCAGCAGAGACATCCAGCACGAGCGCTCCTCGCTGGCCTCGGTGCAATCCGCAACCACCGCTCGGCTGACCGTAACGGCCTGCTTTGCGAAGCCCACGGGGAACCTTTGGCGGCGAGCGAGGGGGGGAAGCGAGAAGGAGAAGGCCCTCTCGGGAGGCGGCCGCCGGCCTTCTCAGAAGCCCTCGCGCCTCCTGAGACGTGCTTTCTGCCCTCGGGGAAGGCTTGAGAAGCTCCTCACAAGGCCGGGGGACTTCCGTGCTTTCTGACAAAGGCCTTCTCCTTCCCACCTCCCCCCCTCGCTCGCCGCCGAAGCCTGCTCAGCAGGAGCAGCGCCGGGCCCCCCGACCGCAGGGCCGCCAGCGCCGCCCCGTAGCCCGCGGCGGAGCAGGCCAGGCAGAGCAGCAGCGCCCGCCGGCGCCCCCGCGAGTCCGAGAAGCCCGGCAGGGTCGCGGAGCCGAGCCACTGCCCGGCCCCGTACGCCGT